TCTCCCTGTGCATAAGCAGCCCTTCCTTCTCCTGCAATCCCTTTTAAAGCCCCTGAGGGCGGGAACTGTGTCTTACTGGTGTTTGTATCCCCAGGGGCCAGCCCTATGTTCATTAATGCTTGCATCAAGGAAAGTAGGAAAGAGCCTGCCTATAGACCCAACCCAAAGCTCCTTTGCTGCCCCCTTCCATTGGGCAGTCTACTTCTGTAGAGATAGCACCTTGGAAACCCAAGGAGGGGTTGCTATCAGTCAGTGAGTTTGGTTTTCCAGCTCTGTAATCTGTTAAGTCTAATTAGAACCTAGAATGTATATTTGGTTTAAACAAATAACTGAGATATGTTTGGCAGACAGGGAGCTTAATTCTCACTGGATTTCTCTAAAGAATTACATATATAAGGAGCTAAATGAGAAATAGGAATGGCATCCAAGTTTTGAAGGTAGCCAAAATCAACTTGTGCTGGTAGGAGTGAAACATATAAACCACATATTTTATTTTATTAAAACTGCTAAGGATTAGTTCTTAAGGTTGCAGTCTTAGTCTGAACATCAGGGGACACTTTTTTTTTTTTTTTTAATTCAGTCACCCAGAGGGAGCATTTTATTCTAATTTACACAAAGTCACTATATTTGCTAGTGGCAGTCACTCCATTTTAGGCTAAAAAAATAAATAAATAAAATAAAATGTAAGCATTTTAGCTAAAGGAAAAGAAACCAAGAGTGGAATCTCATACATGTGTGGGTAGACTTACTTAATGAACTTTTATTATCTAATCAGATGAAATAACTTTCTTAATAGCAAGTAAAACTTAATGGTAAAATATTAAGAGATTAGAGAACAACATATAACTGATGAGAGATACAGGGAAAAATGAAAACACATATTAAGTACCTATGTGTCTTGCCTTGCGCACTGGATATTTTGCATATGCTGGTGAAGAGCATCCATGTGAGGTTAGTGACTTTTTGCAGGGGATGAAAATGTGATTTAGAAAGATTAAATGGTTTTCTCAGAGTCACCCTTTTAGGAAGAGGCAGAGCCCAAGCTTATGATACTGCAGTGACCCTCTCCCCTCAAAGTGATTAACGGTCTAAAGAGATTATTTTCAAAATTAGTTCAAAGCCTAGCCTAGTCAGTTTTCAATAAACATTTAACTAGGTTTCAAAAAGAAAAGATACCATTTAAAAATCAAATGTCATTATAGTTATACAAAGTTTGAAAACTAGCACAAATATTATAGAGCAAACACAACAAAGGAAAATTTGTATTGCTCTTCCCTAAGGGAAATGCCCTAGTCTGGTAGTAAAAGGTAACTGTCCTCTAGAGGGAATTATCCAGTAGAGATCTGTTGCAAAGTTGGTACGTGATTGGCCCCCGGGAGCTTCCTGTGTTGTGATTCAAAGCAAGGAGGGTGGGGTCTGCCTATAAAGGTTGCTTGTGATTGGACAGGCTGCGCTGCAGCTCACGCTCTGTTAGGAATGTGGTTTACCGCTGGGAAGTTACCGAGGCTCTGAAATGCTCACAAAAATGTGGCTGTCATAGAGGGGAGTGCACATGAATTTCAAGACAGCATTAGAAAGCACCCTGCCCATAATTTCTCTGTTCTCAACAACCCCGTTTTAACAGGAGAAATTTTAAATTAAGGTATGTTCATTTTCTCTTTTTCTTCTACAAAGGACTTAAGAGGAGGAGGAGTCAGATGTAAGTTCCTGTTTTTTTAACAACTCTTTTGTGAGCTCCACAGTAGGGAAGATCACAAAATCTACTTGTGCTCCTATGTGTTTAATGCAAAATATTAGCGTATTGAATCGATTTATTTTGTCTTGCATATAAGGATGTTTCAATAGAAGTTTCAAATGGTGAATGTTAAAGATTTATTGATATTGATGTGAGTGCAATAGTTTTCTTATCCTTTCCTGATCCATAAAAATCTTAGGTTTACTTAGAATTTAAGCTGTTTCTTGCAATTACCTTTTCAGAAAGATTTCAGGTGGATATTTCAGAAATGTAGGGCAAAGAAAAGTTTTTTTTTAAATCTCTATCACACTGCCATTCATTTGTACTTCAAAAATGAAGAGACTTTCCTTTCTTGTTTTTGAGGGTAACAGACATTTGAAATTGAGGAATGGTCCTTTGTAATCAGATGGATCTTCAACTTGAGAACCTTGGCGTTTGTTTTTCAGGCTGTGAAATAATCTGAGGACTTTTTCTTGATTTATTGTCCTAGTCCTCTGACCCTGTGGGCCAAACTAGAGCCTGAGGATGTGAGCAGGAGGTAAATGTTCGCTGGGGAATTACTTTGTTTCCATATGAACAGTTCCCTAAGGAGACCCAAGCAGAGATCACTTGGTGGATCTGAGATTCAGTTTTCTCCTGTGTAACATGAGGGGTTAGATGGTTGATTCTTGATTTTTTTTTTTTTTTTTTCTCTCACAGCACACCTGAAAATATATATATTTTCTGAAAAATATAATTCATTCCTTTCGTTAATGGTGGCTCAGTAATGTGATGACTGTCAAGGTGTGAAAGGGCATGGTGTGTATAAGCTTTCTTTTCCACCAGGAGCATATGTAGTAGTTGAGGGGTTGGCCTCCCTAGGGCCCTCCATCTTAAGAATCACTGGGAAAAAATGGTCTTTTGAGGTCCCTCTTAGCTTCCAGTTTATCAAATCTAAAACCAAGATGTTTCTTTGAACAAATTTGAATTCCAGGTAAATATTTACTTATTTCATGTCTCAATATTTTTCCCTCAGAAACCTTTTAAGTATATTAAACGTATTTTTACTAGAAAGGTATTACTTGTCTATTATAAAAATTTTTATGTACTAAAAACTTTATTTCAAAAAATCTGTAATCCTTCTGCCCAGATATAATCTTAACATTCTGTAATATATCTGTTTAGTCTTTTCCTATGGAAATACACACACACACACACACACACAAACATACGTGTGTGTGTGTGTGTGTATAATCAATTAAAAAATATAGTGCAGTACGAAGAACACTGAACTCAGCTATTACCTACTAGCTGGCCCCTTGAAGAAATCCTTTAACCTCTCTGATCTCCATTTTATTCTCTGTAAAATGGAGATGATTCTCACATTAAGTTAGGAGGTTTAAATGAAAACTACTCATATGAAAAGAACACAAATTCTGAATCAAAATGGATGCAAGTTGTTAAATTGTATTTTACATTCTTCCTTTAAAAATATTAAGAATGATTATTTTTTAAAGACTTTAAAGAACCTGGGGTTCTGTTTTTTTTTTTTTTTTTTTCCCCAATTCAGTCCCATATGACAGCTCAGAAAAGGGGTAAGGAACAACAGCTTGACATTATGAACAAACATTATAAACAACTTGAAGGCCGTTTGGATGAGATACTTTCTAGAATTGCTAAGGAAACGGAAGAAATTAAAGACCTTGAGCAACAGCTTACTGAAGGTGAGAATTTAAGTATAAATTGAGGTAAATTTGTGTTAGTGTTAATGAAAAATCAGGTGACACCCAACCAAAACAACTCATTGCCATTGAGTTGTTTCTGCCATGCAGGATTTCTAAGACTGTAAATGTTTACCAAAGCAGACTGCCACATTTTCCTCCTGTGTAGCTGTGCTGCCAATGGATTTGAACTACAGACCTTTAGTTAGCAGCCAAGTGCTTTAACCACTGCACCAGCAGAGCTTCTACATGACACTCAGGCAAGCATTTATCCAAATATTAGCTGAATATAATTCAGGTATTAGTATGTGATAACAAAACATTTACAAAGTTTCCCAAAGTGCTTAATAAAATTTTTAAATACTTGGTTTTGTTTCATTACATTGAAATCCCTGTGAGTCAGGTCATTCTGTTCAGTAAGAAAGAAGCCAATACATTTGATTCTCATTATTTGCAGTAGTTGAGTTCTACTTAGTGACCTTAACTCAGAGTTAGTGAATGCATTGCTCCTAGGGGAATACAGCATTAGAGTCTTGTGAGCCTCTGATCATATTTTTGTCAACGATCAATTCATAACCTTGTTTTATGTATGTTTCTATTTGAAAACACTTTATTTAATGTACATTGTTGATTCATTAACATTGGGCTCACAACTAATAGCATTATAAGATGCCTGAAGAAAGCTCACATAACGCAGGTATTTTCATGTAAGGCCCATCACATCCTTCTTGAACTTACAAACAGACAATACTTCAGCACTATACTTGGGGGCCATTTAAACAAAAATCATAAAAATGTGACACTAAATAGACCATGAGACAGACACTTGTTTACATTCTGAGAACTGAAACGCAGGCAGAGTGTTGCCTTGTTCAACTTCAGCTGGGAACATGCACAATGGGCAACTAAAATTTTTTGCCACTCTGTGTGTGTGCTTGTCTGTGAATGACTGCAGAAGTGCTATGAGAATTGATTTGGGGATAACAAAGAAATTTTAGCAAGCAGGCAAATTCATAGTTACAGAATCTGCAAACAATGAGGATCAACTGTACATGGCAGCGATAAGCTCTGTGATTTTCTTTTTCTGTGTCATAAGATCCTTTCATGAGCAGAAAGCCCATGGACATCATGGCATTCAGTGTCTAGTAAAACATATAGAATGTTAAGATTAACTTTTGTAATGACAATTAAAATTGTGACATTCCAATAATAGCAGAAAAGGAAGATAGTAGGCTGTAATGGTGAGATCCTAGGCTCTCCGTAAAAAGGTTCCAGTCCCTGTTTTGCCGTTATCAGCTGTGTGACTGGGTAGCTTCTATTTTGATCATCATTTGGGAGGATTGAATGAGATAGTGTTTGTAAAGTGCCTGGCACAGAGTAGGTACGGTATATATAGTTATTTTTTGATACCGTTTGTTTGTTTTAAGTCTTCAGGTAACATATTTATGCTGCTAGTGTTATATTAGCTTTATACATTAAGTGGTTCTGTTTTGTGTGTCTGGCAGTAGGAACTTTTTTTTTTTTTTTTTTTAATTAGGATTTGGGTGAAGATTTACAGAGTAAATTCACTTTTCATACAGCAGTTCACATATACTTTGTCTCATGTCATTGACCAAAATTTACAATGCAGCAGCTCCCCTCCCACTTCCTCCCCATAGTTACCTCCTCCCAGTGTCCATCCCTTCATACTCTTCTGCACCCTGAGCTATCTCCCTGTGCATAAGCAGCCCTTCCTTCTCCCATGATTGTTCTCTCCAGGGCGTGTGTCTACTTGTGGTTAAATGTTTAACTCACATGCCTGTACTTTGTTTGGCTGGAAACCACAGTTGTGGGTTCAATTCCAGACCTGAAGGGCAACTAGGGGCCATAGTCTCAGTGGTTACACCAGGCTCCATTGGACCAGCAAACCTGGTCCCCACCTTCTTTTCTTTTTTTTTTTTTGCCTCCAAACGATTTTGAGTTTTGTACCACATTGTTCTCCCTCTTTATGTAGGATCTCCTACATCAGTAGGAACTGTTTTGCTGTTTGTTTTTTTATTATTTTACTTGGAAGTTACTACTTTATACTTTTTGTATTGGATTAATTTTATAAGTATTTTCTGCTAAATATGTAATAAATATTGTATACATGGTTGATCTACCTGTGCTCTGGATAATGGGAGGACAGGAAAAAAAGCTATCATTATGTCTTTGAAAGGTGCTCTGGTGGCGTAGTGCCTAAAGCATCTGACTGCTAACCAGAAGGCTGGCAGTTCAAGCCCACCAGCCACTCCTTGGAAAGAAGCCTGGACAATCTACTTCCTGAGAGAGATTTTTCTTAGAAAAGAAAAATAACATAGTGGGTTTAGGAAATAAATGAAAGCTTAGAATTTTGTGCTTAGCTCGTAACAAATTTTTAAGGAGAGTAAGCGCAGCAATTATATATCTTGAAAACATTTTCTTGTAAACATTACCGTCCCTTCTTCCATCTTACTTAGGCCAGATAGCTGCAAATGAAGCGCTGAAGAGGGATTTGGAAGGAGTTATCAGTGGTTTGCAAGAATACCTGGGGAACGTCAAAGGCCAGGCAACACAGGCCCAGAATGAGTGCAAGAAGCTACAGAATGAGAAAGAAGCACTGCTGCAGAGATTGACTGAAGTCGAGCAGGAACGAAACCAACTGGAAATAGTGGCCATGGATGCAGAAAGCATGAGGAAGGTATGATTTGTTTCTTTTGCCTATTTTTCTTAGCCTCAAATGTAGATGGTATCAAATTTAAGTTACTTAAAGAGGTTAATAGTAATATAATTGTAAGTGGCAAAAGTATTAGTGGCTATTTGGTGGTTTCTTTAAGGTTTTTTTTTTTTTTAAGTTAGGATATGCTTGGAATCATTATTTTTCCTTTCCTAAGGAAAAAAGGGATTATTTTACTTGATTTTTATGTCTGAAAGGTATTGTTATCAAATAACTCCAAAGTTATTTGATAAGTTATTTATACAAATATAAAACTGTAGCTTTTACAAATGATCTGTTAAATGTTCAAATTTTATTATTTGTGCAGCAAAATTAAGCACATCCTGCATTTTTAAAATTCTTGTTATTGATAGCTTTGACATTACACTTATTCTTCACTTAATGACTACCTTGTAATCTGACATCTTACACTTATAATAATAGTAAAAAACGTACTGTCTGACTATTTTGCACATTAATGATGTATGTCTGGTAGTGACAAATATTAAGGTGTGAGGTGAGAATAACGCTGGCTGTGATGGTTAAGGTTATGTGCCGACTTGGCCCTGGGCCCTGATTCTCAGTGGTTAGAAAGTTATGTAATGATGTAATTTGGCAGTTACATAATGATTTATTCATCTTCCATTTTGTGATCTGATGTGGCCATGCTCCATTTTTGTATAATGCCAATTTTTCATAACCACCTGCTCTTTGAAACCTAATCATGTCTCTAAGTGAGGAGTAAGTACATTTTACAGTTAACAAGACAATGTCATAAATTATATTCTTCTATACTTAAGGAGCTCTGGTTATATAGTGGATAAGGCATTTGGCTGCTAACCAGAAGGTCATTGGTTCAAAACAACCAGCCACTCCACGGAAGGAAGATGGAGTGATCTACCTCCATAAAGATCTACAGGGTATCTAATAGGGGTTGCTATGAGTTGGAACTGACTCAATGGCAGTGAGGTTGGATTTTGGTATATTTGACTTAAGGAGCTCTGGTGGTGTAGCATTTAAAGGCATTTGGCTGTTAACCATAAATGTCAGTGGTTCAAACACACCAGCTGCTCTGTGGAAGAAAAATGAGGCAGTCTGCTTCCGTAAATATTTACAGCCTTAGAAACTCAGTGGGGTTTGCTTCGAGTCAGAATCAACTTGATGGCAGTGAGTTTCGTTTTTTTGGTTTATATTTGTTGCCCATTCATTTGGAAATTCCACATGCTATTTTAATTGTTTGGCAAACTTTATCATGAATGAGTACCACAGATTCCTAGACCTTGGATTCAGTAAGGCTGGCTTTAGAAATGAGAATTAATATATTTTGATTTTATAAAATTTCTTAGGCAGATAAATACACTCCTTGGAGAGAACAATCATGGGAGAAAGAAGGGCTGTTTATGCACAGGGAGGCAGCTCAGGGGGCAGAGGTGCATGGAGGGATCGACACAGGGAAGAAGTAACTATCGGGAGGAAGTGGGAGGGGAGCTGTTGCATTGTGGTAAATTGTGGTCAATGTCATGAGACAAAGTATATGTGAACTGCTGTATGGAAAGTGATTTTGCTCTGTAAATTTTCACCCAAATCACAATTAAAAAAAAAAAATGGGTTATGGGCAAAACTAAAGAATAATGTAGAATCTGCAAAATACTGCACAACATGGATGGACTTGGAGGATATTATGCTGGCGTGGGATCGGGCGGTGTTTCATTCTGCTGTGCGTGGGGTCGCTATGAGTTGGAAACGACAGCACCTAACAACAACAACATGCTGAGTGAGATAAGTCAATCACAGAAGGACAAATACTGTATTAGTTCATTATTGTAAAAAGTCAAGGAAAGGTTTATATATATGGAAGGAAACTTTCTTTTGTTTGTTACCAGGCGCAGGAGGGGAAGGGAGGGAACACTGTAAAAATAAAGAGAAATAATAATTAAAAAATTAAAAAAAAAATTCTCAGGCATGCAAAAAGTATAAAAAATATTTAACCCAGCTTAAGAAATAAAACATTGCAGATATATTTGAAACTGTGTCTGCCCCTTTCCAGTGATTAAAAAAAAAAAAAATCTGAATGTAATTATCACTTCCCTGGGATATCTGTTCTTTTGTTGTATATGTAGCCATCTATAAGTCATAAGTCCTAAGTCATGATTTTAAGATTTATATAAAAGGTCGTTGGAAAATATGGCCTTGGTGATAGAAATGATGCTAGACATCACATGATAGAATTTTGCCAGACCAATGACTTACTCATTGCAAATACCTTTTTCAACAACATAAATGGCGGCTATACATGTGGACTTTGCTAGATGGAGTACACAGGAATCAGATCGATTACATCTGTGGAAAGAGGTGATGGAGAAGCTCAGTATCTTCAGCCAAAACAAGGCCAAGAGCTGACTGTGGAACAGACTATCAACTGCATATATGCAAGTTCCCGTTGAAGCAGAGACAATTAAAACAAGTCCACGAGAGCAAAAATACAATCTTGATTATATCCCACCTGAATTTGGAGACTATCTGAAGAATAGACTTGATGCATTGAACACCAGTGACCAAAAACCAGATGAATTGTGGGATGACATGAAGAACATCATCCGTGGGGAAAACAAAGGGTCATTAAAAAGACAGGAAAGGAAGAAAAGACCAAAATGGTTGTCAGAAGAGACTCGTGAAACTTGCTCTTGAATGGAGAGTAGCTAAAGTGAATGGAAGAAACAAGATAAAAGAGCTGAACAGAAGATTTTAAAGAGCAGCTCAAGAAGACAAAGTCAGTTATTATAATGAAATGTGCAAAAAGGCTGGAGTTAGAAAACCAAAAGGGAAGAATACACTTGGCATTTCTCAAGCTGAAAGAACTGGAGAAAAAATTCAAGCCTCAAGATGCAATATTGAAAGATTCTGTTGGCAAAATATTGAATGATGCAGGAAACATCAGAAGAAGATGGAAGGAATGCACAGAGTCAGTGTACCAAAAAGAATTGATCGATGTTCATCCATTTGAGGAAGTGTCATATGATCAAGAACTGATGGTATTGAAGGAAGAGGTTGAAGCTGTACTGAAGAACTTGGCAAAAAACAAGGGCTACGGTTACACCACATTTTCCCCAACAGCTTAGGAATTGACAGAATACCCATTGAGATGTTTTAAGAAGTAGATGCCATACTGGAGGCACTTACTAGTCTATGTCAAGAAATTTGGAAGATAGCCACCTGGCAAGCTGACTGGAAGAGATCCATATTTGTACCCATTCCAAAGAAAGGTGATCAAACAAAATGTGGAAATGATCAAACAATATCATTAATAATGCACTCAAGTAAAATCTTGCTGAAGACAGGGAACTTCAAGAATGCAAGCTGGATTCAGAAGAGGACGTGGAATGAGAGATACCATTGCTGATGTCAGATGGATCTTGGCTGAAAGCAAAGAATGCCAGAAAGATGTTTACTTGTGTTTTATTGACTATGCAAAAGCATTCGACTTTGTGGAGCATAACAAATTATGGATAGCATTGACAAGAATGGGGATTTCAGAATACTTAATTATGCTCATGAGGAACCTATATGTAAATTAAGAGGCCATGATTCAAAAACAACAAGGAGATTCTGCATGGTTTAAAATCAGGAAGGGAGTGTGTCAGGGTTGTATTCTTTCACCATGCTTAGTCAGTCTGTATGCTGAGCAAATAAATAATCTGAGAAGCTGGACTGTATGAAGAAGAATGTGGCATCAGGGTTGGAGGAAGACTTACTAAGAACCTGCGCTATGCAGAAAACACAGCATTGCTTGCTGAAAATGAAGATGACATGAAGCATTTACTGATGAAGATTAAAGAGTACAGTCTGCAGTATGGATTACACCTCAACATAAAGAAAATGCAAGGATATCATGCTTGGTAGAGTGGAGGGTCAGTGAAAAAGGGGAAGGCCCTCAATGAGATGGAATGACACAGTGACTGCAATGATGGGCTCAGGTATAGCAAGGATTGTGAGGGTGGTGCAGAACTGGGCAGTATTGCATTCTGTTGTACATAGGGTTTCTCTGAGTCAGAGCTGAGTCAATGGCACCTAACACCAACAGCAATAATAAAAGGTATCATAGTGTACATGTTCGTTGGCTACTTCCTGTCTTCCTTCCTATTTGCTTTTGAGAATTGTGTGCATGCATACATGAAGCTCCTCTGTTTACTTGTGTTTTATGGACTGTGCAGCCCCTGGCTAGCCCCTGGCTAGCAGGACCGATTTTTAAAGTGTTAATTCTTAGGTCCTAACACCACTCAGCAATATCCAAGCTGTCCGTGCCATCAAGATTGCTGACAGGCTCCAGCTACATATGTCTCTTATTTCGGTGTTTTCATGCAAATTCTTCTACTAGTTGGAGTTTAGTCCACTTCTGTATTCTTCCCTTCAAAGCTCAGGGCTCCAGGACTATTCTGTATCTGTTTTAATTGGTTCCCCTTTTCTTTGTTGAAGAGGGTCTGTGCAGTCTTTCTGCCTATTCCGCCATCTTACCGTAACTCCTCTTGGTGGCACATAACTTGACCATGGGGACTATATTGAGAAGTGAAGTGTGATTGAGAGAGTATGTGCATCTTCAACTTCACTTTGTTGTTACGTGCCGTTGAGTCGGACCCAACTCATAGCGACCCCTCCTTGGGTTTCCGAGGCAGTATCATTACGGAAGTAGATTGCCCCATCTTCCTTCCGAGGAGTGGCTGGTGGGTTTGAACCGCCAGCCTTCTGGTTAGCAGTCAAGTGCCTTAGGCACTACGCTACCAGAGCTCCTTCAACTTTACTAGATATTGTCAAATTACTGTCTACAATGATTCTATCGAATTCTACCCCCACCAGGAATTTGAGGCCTACCGTTATACCATATCTTTTTCAACACCTTAGTATTTTCCAACTTTTATTATTTTAAAATAATTTCAAATTTGAGAAGAGTTGCAACAATACAAATACCTCACATATACCCTTAACCCAGATTCACCAATTAACATTTTGCCACAAATGTTTTGTCATGCTTGTATATTTTTAAAATGATTTTATATACATTTTTTAATAATTTTTTCCTTGAACTGTATGAGAATTAGTTGCAGACATCCTGCTACTTTGCCTCTAAATATGTCATTTTCCAACATACATACAGAATTCAAGAAATTACCAAATTCAAGAAATTTAACATTTTGCCAATCTGCTGAGTTTAAATTGGTCTCCCCCATCTCTTTATTATAAAACTTTTTACATTTACAGAAATGTTCAAAGAGTAGGTCAGTGAACATCCATGTGCTTTCTAAAACTTTCATCTCTACGTCTTCATCTGTAAAATGAGGATAATAATACTTTGCCATGCACAATTATTGTGCAGATTCAGTGACATAACAAATATGAAAACATTTAGTTCAATATCTGAGGGAAAATAAGCCTTTAAATTTTATCCTTCCTGCTCCCCCCACTTCTTTTTTCCTTCTTATATATCCAGACTCATTTAAGGAATCACACAACAACAGATTGGTAGCTTTCTGATTTTTCCAATTACATTTAATTAGGGTTTTTTTTCCAAGCTGGATCTGCCCAGCCTGAGGCTTCATCAGATAGGTAATGAAAATTACCGGCCAGGCTGGCAATGGTTGGCCAGGATTCGGTTTACATTGCTCAAGTTATTGACTCAAGTTACTACTTGCAGATACTTAAGCAGGCAGTGTGGGTTCCATAGTTAAATGTACCCTTCAATCCTTCCAGGAGCTTGCAGATCTAGAAACCGCCCTCCAGGAGCAGCATGAGTTGAATGTATCTCTGCAGCAGGCCCAGGGAGATCTCAGTGCCTATGAGGCTGAGCTGGAGGCTCAACTAAGAATGAAGGATGCTGAAACCAGCCAGCTCAAGGAAGAGTTGGAAAGACTCACAAGGCTTAGCCAGGTAAGTGGCTACATGGAGCTATCTTAGAAATGAAGTAATCTTAAGAAATAAATCGTATTTCAGTTATATCTTAATTAAGACTGAACATACTTATTTTACATACTTATATCTATCTATCTCCCTGGTGGTACAAACAGTTTAGTGCTAGACTGCTAACTAAAAGGTTGGTGGTTTGAACCTGCCCAGAAGCTCCGTGGAAGAAGGACTTGGCTATCTGCTTCCCTAAAGATTACAGCAAAGAAAATCCTATGAGATAGCTGTTACATGGCATTGCTGTGAGTTGAAGTTGACTTGACAGCACCTAACAACAACATACATATACGTGTGTGTGTTGTATGTGTGTGTACATACATATATATACATACACACGAATACATAAACAGACACACACACGCAGATGAAGGACACATTCTTAGAGTCAGATATTCTGAGTTCATACTGTACCCCTTTGAATTTGACCAGACCATTTCATGGCTCCAAGCATGTCTTTCCTCTGTGTAATGGGTTTTGGTGAGGTTAAATGAGGTGCTCTGAAAGCCCCTACAATTGATATTCAGTCCAAAAAAAAAACCAAACTCACTGCCATCAAGTTGGATCTGACTCACAGTGACCCCTTCTTGGGTTTCCGAGGCAGTATCACTACAGAAATAGATTGCCCAATCTTCCTCCCAAGGATGGCTGGTGGGTTTGAACTGCCAGCCTTCTGGTTAGCAGTCAAATGGCTTAGGCATTACACCACCAGAGACTTCTTTTAAATTGATGTTAAATTTTATTTTGTTATTTTCTGTTATGGTTGAATTAAATAGCCACTAATATAAATTATACTTGCAAATTAGAAAAATAATTATTCATCCAATAAGTAGTTATTGACTGACCACAGAGGGCCAGATGCTGTGGATGCTTCAGGGAACAGTATACCCATGTTTACTCTCTTTGTGGAGCTGACAGTCCTGCAGGTAAAAGCTACTAGAAGAGTAGCAGGTGAATGTTCTTTGCAGAGGGAGAAAGAGCATAGGGCATTTGAGACATTGAAAGGGTGGCTCCAGTATGCCAGGAGCAAGGAGAGTGGGGAAAGAGGGTAAGAGAGAAAGGCCAGAGAGGTGGGCAGAGGCCAGATCCTGAGTGGCCATTAAGGTCATGTTAAGGATATTGTTTTTATTCTTAGAGGGAAGGTTTGAAGCAGGGAAATGACACAATAACATTTATGCTTTCAAAAAGATTCTCTGTTGCTAAGTGGAGAATGAATTGATGAGGAGTAAGACTGGAGGCAGGGAGGTCTGTTTAGAAGATTATACAATGACACAAATGAGAAATAATGGAAGCTTGATCCAGGATGTCAATGCTGGGTATGTCTAGAAGTGGGCAGGCTCAGGGAATGTTGAGGAGCTAGGATTGCCAGGACCTGGAGGAGTTGAGGATACTTTCCACGTTTCTGGCCTGAGTACCTGGGTGAACAGTAGTTCCATTAACTAAAGCAAGAACACTGATGGAGGTGTGGATTTGGCAGAAAGGTGATGAATTCCATGTGAGCAGGGTGTAATCTGTGAAGGCATCCAAAAAGAACTCAACTCTAGTATTTGTGGATTGGAAGCTCAGGAAGAAGGCTGGCAGAATATAGAGTTGGGAGTTATCAGCATATAGATGAGAAATTCAGCCATGACCTTAAAGAGATCCTTCAGGCTGGCAATGTAGAGCAGAAAGAAAAGGAATCTAGGACAGAGCCCTCACATTGTTTAAATGCAGGAATAAAAGAGAAGGTGTCTACAAAGGAGACCAAGAAGGTGGGACCAGAGAGAAAGGAGGAAAAGCAGGAGAACTCTGTAGTGTTTCAGGTGCCAGAAGAAGAGATTATTTCAAAGAGGGTAAGTGGTCAGCAGAGTCAGATGCTTTTAAATGTTCCCTCAGGATGATGACCGTGAAGTACCCATTGTCCTTAGTGATGCATAGATTACTGGTAGCCTTGATGAGTGCAATGTCTTTGGGGTGGTAGGGATGAAAGCCAGTTTGGAATGGGCTGAGATGGAGACAAGTTTGACCTGGCAGGGGAGAAGAGAAGCCAGTAGCTTGAAATGAATCTGCAGTTGAAAGAGGATTTGGGTTAAAATGGGATGAGGGGAACATGAAAATGTTAATGGGCAGAAAAAGATTGTTGAAAGGGAAGGGCTGAAGGAATGAGACATGGAATAAATAATGGTGTAAGGTCCTGAGAAAACAAAAGGGAATGGAATTGAGACTTCATGTGGAGAGATGAGCCTTGGATTGCAAGAAAAACTCCTTCATCTTATGAGGAGAGAAGGGTAAAAAAAGAGTATGGATGCAGGTAAAGCATGTGAGTTTGGCTGCAAGGAATTGAGGGGTGGCTCCCTGTTGGTTTCTCTTCTATCTATGACCAGAAGCCATCTGCTGAGGAGGGTAGGTGAGTAGAAGAGATGATTAGAGGTTTGAGGGCCAAGGAGGTCTTAAGATATGGGAGAATATGAGCTAAGTGGACCTTGGTAATATAGTAGGGTTTCTGGGTAGTATTGAGGGCTCGGTTGGGGCTGGGACCATAAATATATAGTGGCACCAGTATGTCCAGCAACATTAACTTTCTCCTGCAGAGATAGAGAGTCCAGGAACAAGTGTGAGGAAGGATGATCTAATATCCAAGCAATAGTGCTGAGCGGTTAAGATAAGAGTTGTTGAAATGGTAGGTCATGAGAAGAGAAAGACAGGAGAAAGAATGTAGTGAGGATTGGAGAGTCTAATGAGGTTGGAATGCATTTCATCAGAATAAGCAGTTACAGCATATTCTTTAACAGATTAAAAATTAGGCTAGTCATTAGCCAAATAGGGTACATCTTCCTCCAGGAAGCCCACCCTGACCTTCCCCTTCTGCCTGCTGAAACATTGTGCTCAGTACAACACTTGGGTTTTTCCGTGACCCGTACTGGGTCAAGGCATTTTCTCGTGCTATCTGGTGATCATCTCTTTAGATTGTCTCTCCAGATAGACTCAGCTTGGTGAATGCTGAGGTGGTATGTGCTTGTTTCTATTTTCTCAGTGCCTGGCACATGGGAAGGGTCAAGATGTTCTTTTTGGATGAAAATGAAAGAAAAGAAGAGAGTTTGAATGCCAGGATACATTTGAAAGAGCATTCATATTAAAAAAGGTGCTGAAAATAGATCTGGCTATCATAGTAGTTATGTTCACTTGTATTCCTTTTCTTATCAGCTGTCAAGTAATCACTTGCCAGTTGTTAGAATTATACTTCTCAAGAGTACCATGTTTAATGAAGCTACAGTTGGCAAAATGATAGTCTGGGAAATAGGAGGTTGGGGACAACAATTAAAATGACATTAAAAAAAAAATTAAAATGACATTAATTACCTATTTTTAAATAACAGTAAATAAAATTTCTGGGTAACATCTTCATTCAAATAAAATCATAATTTCAGGCCAGCCCTTACTAATTTCAAATGTATTATTCTGTGTAATTCCATTGTCCTTTTTTATTTTTTTCCTTTCTTTCTCATATGTTTCTACAAAATGTAGAATAGCTAGACTTTACACAAGTTCAGTTGCTGTTGGAAGTCCAGGACTGATCTTCATACTGCACATACTGAGAGTATATAGGATGACAAGGGTTCTTTCTCTGATCTCCAGATCTGCAAGTTGCTGACTGGCTAACTTTAATTAATAGAATCACTTGTGAGGCTGGTTTAATGCAGATTCCTGAGCCCCACCTTAGAGATTCTGACTCAGTATGTCTGAGGGAGAGTCTTGGCATCTGCATTTTTAATAAGTATACCAGGCAACTTGGAGGACCACGCTTTGAGCTGTACCAGTTTAAGGGAAAGGAGAGCAGTAAATAAATAATTGTTAGATCACTCACAGAGCATTTAAAAGTAGGGGCTTGGGGCCAACCATGGAGATTCTGAGTTGATGGGTCTGGGCTGAGCTAATTTTAATACTTGCTTCTCATTGAATATTAATAGCTTAAAGGGACATGTGAGAAAAAATCTTGGGTTTATAAATTGGTAGTATGAACATAAAACTTGTTAGCAGAGGATTATGGGTATGTATAAATTTATTTATGCCTTTTTAGATTGTAAAATATTGTTATTTTATATTTTCATATCTTTGTTTCCTTTGGCAATAGTTAGAACAATCAGCCCTGCAAGCAGAACTTGAGAAGGAAAGGCAAGCCCTTGAGAATGCCCTTGGAAAAGCCCAGTTCTCAGAAGAAAAGGAGCAAGAAAACAGTGAACTCTGCACACAACTTAAACAGCTACAGGTAGAGATTATATCAGAATATATCCTTACATGGGACACTCAGGAGTTCTGGTGGCATAGTGCCTAAGGCATTTGACAGCTAACTAAAAGGTTAGTGATTCAAACCCACCAGCCTCTCCGCAGAAAGAATACTAAGCAATCGAATTCTGTAAAGATTTACCACCTTGGAGACCCAAAGGGGGTCACTGTGAGTTGGAATTGACTCAATATCAGTGAGTTTAGTTTGGTTTGGTGGGACATTCAAAAATACCACTATTTTAAGTCAAGTACTTAATAGCCGACTCTAACGTGGTAAACCAAAACCTAAACCCACTACGATTGAGTACTGATTCCAACTTATGAGTATAGCAACCCTATACGACAAAGTGGCATAGTTCCTAAGGCATTTGACTACTAAGCAGAAGGCTGGTGGTTCAAACCCACCAGCCACTCCTCAGAAGAAAGATTGGGCAATCTACTTCCATAGTGAAACCACCTCAGAAACCCAAGGAGGGGTCACTATGAGTCAGGTCTGACTTGACGGCAGTGAGTTTAGTTTGTTTTTTTTATAGGACAAAGTAGAATGGCCCCATAGTGTTACCAAGGCTGTAACTCTTTATAGAAGCAGACAGCCTCATCTTTCCCCTACAGAGTGGCTGGTTGCTTTGAATCATTGATCTTTTGATTCACAGCCAAGTGTTTTAACTTCTGTGTCGCTAGAGCTCATTAAAACTTGAATAATTAGAAAAAAATGAATTCCAGGTGGGGCAACACTATAGCCTCTGTTCCCATGTGAAACCACCATATTAAGATGAATAGCCTTTGTGTTGTATGATGGTGCAAAGAGAAGGAAGCAGTGTCAGTGGTATACTGTGTAAAGGTATAGTGAGGAGGAGCAGAGGAGGGCACTTGCCCAAGACACAAGTCCAAGAGAACAGACAAGGTGCAGAATGATGTTCTGAGGCACCACAAATAGGAAAAGTGCTTGGCTGAGATAGCCAGATGAGAGGGGAAGACGTTTCTGTTGATGAGTGGTCACTGTCAATGTCTACTCATCTTGAAATTGGAGGGGGGCGCAATGTAGAGATTGCCCCTGGGCATTCGTTACCCTCGTTACTCCCTGAATAGAGTATTACTGTGTAAATTCATGGACCAAACCAATACTTTATATTTTTCTTAGCGCAGACTTGTTACTAGACTGAGCTACAATTATCAGATTGATACATCCTTCTTCTATTGATACATCTTTGTAATTATCTAGGATTAAGTGCAGTGGATTGCATGCAGTTGGATTTGTTAATTTTAAAGTTTTTATAGTTGTCTTCTCAGAAAGAATGCTATTGAAAATAGGAGTTTTCTTTGGCAGAATATTTTTATGGCTATTGTTACAGTAATCTGCCCAACATGCTGCTGGAGAAGCAGGTGGACAGTATTTTCCAGATAGGAGCTCTGGTAGCATAGTGGCTAAGACACTTGCCTGCTAACCAGACGGCTGGCGATTCACACCCACCAGCCACTCCTCGGAAGGAAGGTTGGGCAATCCTACTTCCGTAGTGATACTGCCTCAGAAACCCAAGGGGGGGTCGCTATGAGTCGGGGCTGACTCGACAGCACATAACAACAACAGCAAACTCCTTCAACAAGAATAGGTACCAGAACAAATCAGTACCTGAATCACCCTTCAGGTGTCCAGTCTGTGAGGTGAGGGGCCTGCTTGGCTGGCTGAATTGGTAGCTATTATAGTTCACCAGAAATAAAGAGACAGAGTTTTTATGGTTTGAAGGAAGGCTTCCAAAAAGACAGAAGATTTGGAACCAATGAGACTAAGTTCACCCAAATTGTCTCCCTCCTCTCCCAACACCTATTTTGTTTCTTCAAAGTCTAAGGAAATCTAATAGCCTAGAATTTAATTTTTACTACTATTAGTTTAACTTCTGGAGTAAGAAGCCTAGAAGCTTCATTATTAGATATTCCATTTTTCAGTTGATTAGCAGATTGAGCTGAGTATTATGAAAAAGTGTTTTAATTTGAATTATGGACATTCTCAATCATACACAAAAATAGAGAAATACATCATTCTCTGAGCTTGGGTGGTATCTGTCACTCAGTTTCAGCAATTACCAACACATGGCCAATCTTTTTTGACTGTAAGGTTTTTTATGCCCCATCCCTCATACCTATTCACACTCTGAATTATTTTGAGGTAAATCTCAGACATCTTATCTCTAAATACTATCCTATTGTATATCTCTCTTAAAAATAGGGACTTTAAAAAAAAACATAAAGCACAGTATCATTGTTACACCTTAAAATGATAATAATTCCTTAATGGTCATCATGAGTTGTAATCAACTCAATGGCAACAGGTTTTAATATCATCAAATGCTTTGTTAAGTATTATTTAATTTTCCAAATTAACAGGTAGTCCCCAGATTACAAGCAAGTTCCCTTCCTAAATTTCTCTTTAAATTGAATTTGTATGTTAAGTCAGAACAGTATTCACAGTTCATGTCGAACATCAGTCAAATGCTTGTCTTAATACGGCACCTTTCTATGCATAAAAACATTGGCAAATCACTTCCAGATACTGTGAAACATCTTTAACATCATAATACAGTAATAATAATGTTCTGATGCCTGTTGCAAAGCCAGACCTGTTTGTCATTATGAACCATTGTATGTACCTCAAATTTTCAATATAATAAGTTTTATGGAGGTTAGTTCTTAAAGTTGTATGCAAATTGGACATTTGTAATGTGGATACTGCCTGTATCTCATAAATGTTTTTACAGTTGTTTTGTTGGAATCACAATCCAAATAAGGTCCTCATATTGCACTTCATATTCAGGTATCAAATGTGATAAGGTCTATCATATTTGCCTTGCTTAAAAAAAAAAAAACTTACAATCTATAGGTTTTCCCTTTTTTTTTTTTTTAGCTGTATGTTGAAGAAAGCCAGGTCTGTCCTATAGAGTTTCCCATATTCTTGATTTTACTGAGTCACTCCTCAGAAGGAAGGTTAGGCAATCTATTTTTGTAGTGATACCGCCTAGGAAACCCAAGGAGGGGTCGCTATGAGTTGGTCCGACTCGACAGCACATAACAACAACAACAACATTTCCCCATGGTGTTAAGATATTCTTATGTCATATTTACAGGGTTACTTAAATTCAGATTGGTTAGTTTTTTATGAAGGCATTCATAGTGGGTTTTGTATACTTATTTTTGTATCACATCATGAGATGTAATAATGCCTAGTTATGTCTTTTAAGATTGATCAGTAGGTTAAGGTATTATCAACTGAGTAGAAAAGGTTTTTTTAAAAATTGGTAAAGGGAATTAAATAAAACTATCATATGACCCAGAGTAATATAGGCTGCATGTGTATATGTGAGTGTGTTTTGCTTCTTTGAAAATTTAAATTTGTTGTTGTTTAGATTATACACAGCAAAAGCTACACCAGTTCAACAGTTTCTGCATGTACAATTCAAAGACATTGATTACATTCTTCAAGTTGTGCAGCCATCCTCATCTTCCCTTTCTGAGTTGTTCCTCTTCCGTTAACATAAACTCAGTGCCCTCTAAGGTTCCTATCTAATCTGTAAAGTTGCTTTTGTCAATTTGATCCCATGTGGAACTTCAAAGAGCCTAATGCTCAAGGCAGACATTTTTTACTCTTTAAGCTAAACCTTCGTTTGGTTTTAAGAAGACTGCAAGGGATATTATTGTGTTAAGTTAAAAAGAGTATCTCAGGGCAGTAGTTTTATGGGTTCATCCAGCCCCCTTGGCCCTACAAAGTCTGTAATCCATGAGAATTTGAAATTCTATTCTACATTTTCCCCCTTTTGATCAGGGTTCTTCTATAGAATCCTTGATTAAAATGTTCAGTAATGGTAGCTGGTTCAGTTCTTCTGGTCTCATGGCAAAGGAATTGTGGGTGTGTTTTAAATTTTGTTTTGTTAACCTTTATTACCCCATCTCACTTCCCTCCTTAGGAAGACAATAACCTGTTAAAACAGCAGCTTAAAGATTTCCAGAATCACCTTAGTCATGTGGTTAACAATTTAATTCGTCCAGAAGAAGTAGCAGCTCGTGTGGATGAGCTGAGGAGAAAGCTGAAGTTAGGAGCTGGGGAAACGAGGTAAGGAAAAATCAGAACTTCTCTAAGTATAGGGGTTTGCTGAGTTGTGAATCTGAGGTTCAGTGATGAACTCACCTTTCCAAGTACTGTTAATGATTTCTTTCATGAAGTTTTCCCTTATCATGTTTCCATGGCTGAGATAATAAATTGTTTAATTTAAAATTTTTGTTAACTTTCTACTTTAAAGCTTTTATACTTTTTGATATTTTTAAATTTTAAAATAAAATTTCAAGAGTACTCTTTTCTTGAATGGTCATTATATATGTATGTTCAGGAAGTACAGCCACATTTTGCATTTTAAATAGGAAACATCAAAAGAAAAGTAAGAAACCTACAGCATACTTCATACTCAATGGTAAAAGACTGAATGCTTTTCCCTGAAGATCAGAAACAAGACAAGGATGTCTGCTTTTACTACTGCTGTTCAACACTGTACTGGAAGTTCTAGACAGAACATTTAAGCCAGAGAAAGAAATAATAGGAAAAGAAAACACAAAACTGTCTCTACTCACAGATGATCCTGTGTATTAAAAATCCCAAAGAACTCAAAAGCTACTAGAGCTAATCACACAAATTCTGCAAAGTGGCTAGGTACAAAGTCAACAAACAAAAACCAGTTGAGTTTCTATATACCAACAATGAACACTCTGAAAAGGAAGAAAACAATTCCATCTACATTAACATCTAAAAGATAAATACCTGGGAATAAATTTAACTAGACAGATGAAAGACTTGTACTCTAAAAACTGTAAAATATTGTTGAAAGAAATCAGAGAAGACCTAAATAAATGGAAAGACATATCATGTGTCTTGATTGGAAGATATAATACTATTAAGATGTCAGTACTGTCCAAAGTGATCTACAGTCAACACATCCCTATCAAAATTCCAAGTCTTTTTTTTTTTTTTTTTTTTGCAGAAATGGAAATGCCAAATACATATGGAATTGCAAGGGGCCCCAAATAACCAAAGCAATCTTGAAACTAAAGAAAAAAGTAGGAGTACTCACCCTTCTCAGTTTTAAAATTTAAAACTACAATGTCAAAACAATGTGGTATTAGCTCTGTTACTATATTCTAACACAGTGAATTGATCTATTTTTGTGTAGAATTGACCTTTTAATCTTAATAAATATCCCTACTTGTATCTGTAAATATCCCTATGTTGAAATCTACTTTTTTAATACTGCTGTAGATGGTGCCTAAGGCATTTGACTGCTAACCAGAAGGCTGGCGGTTCAAACCCACCAGCCACCCCTCAGAAGGAAGATTGGGCAATCTACTTCTGTAGAGATACCACCTTGGAAACCCAAGGAGGGATCTCTATGAGTCAAATCGACTCGATGGCAGTGAGTTTGGTTTTTTTGGTTTGGTAGATAAAGTAGCTTTCTTACATATTTTTTTAGAGTGTGATGTAAGGATAGACATATAGATCAATGGAATAGAATTGAGAGTCCAGAAATAAACCCATACATGTACAGCTAATTGATTTTCAACAAGGATGCCAAGTCCATTCAGTGAGGAACGAATCTCTTTAACTGGATTTCCACATGCAAAAGAATGAAGTCAGACCTATACCTCACACTATATACAAAAAAAAAAAAAAACCTCAAAATGGATTCAGTAACTAAGAACTAAATCCATAGAATTCTTGGAATAATACATAGGGGTAAATATGGGCTCAAACTTCCAACAGCAACTCGAAACATTAGATAGGAACCTTAGGGGAGGAGGGTCAGTGAGTTTATGTTAATGAAGGAGGAACAACTCAGAAAAGGAAGGTGAGAATGGTTGCATAACTTGAATCTATTCAATGTCACTGAATTGTACTTGGAGAGACTATTGAATTGGTGTATATTTTGCTGTGTATTCAACAGCAATAACAAAATAAATAAAATTTAGGGGGAAAAAACCAAAAACATAAGTGTGAAGTTCCAAGACATTGTTTTTTGGCGATGGATTCTTAGTTGTGACACCAAAAGCACAAACAATAAAGAAAAAAAAAACCAATTAGACTGTACCAAAATAAAACCAAACTTTTGTACATCAAAGGATACTATCAATAAAGTAAAGAGACAAAACATAGTCTAAGAGCAATATTTGATAACCATATATCTGATAAATATTGAATATCCAGAATATATGAAGAACTTTTGCAAGTCAACAATAAAAAGACAACCCAAATAAGAAATGGGCAAATGGAGATGGAGGGAAAATTTACCCTGAGACAAGAAGAACTGGATGGTGGCTGGCTACCACTACTGACTGTTGTGATGAAGGACACGATAGATGGCCCTGGATAAAATGGGAAACAATGTAGAATAAAACTCAGAGTCTTAAAAAAGGCCCTAACTTGTTGGATTGAGACTAGAGGAACCCCCAAAATGATTGCCCTGACATAGCCATTAAACTTTGAACTAAGACCACTCCTGGAGGTCACCTCCCAGCTAAATAACAGATTAGCTCATGAAATAAACATCATTCATGAATAGTATACTTTAAAAAAAAAAAATCGTCTATATGGGACCAGATGATCAACAGTTACCGTAAAGCAAAGATGAGAAGGTAAGGGAGGACAGGGAAGTTAGACTAATGAAAATAGAACAACCAGACAGAAATAATGAGAGTATTAGTACATTGTAAAAAATGTAACAAATATTACTGAACAATATATAGAGAAATTTTTAAAAGGGAACCTAATTTGCTATATAAACTTTAACCAAAAACACAATGAAATATTACTTGAAAAAAAAAATGGGCAAAAGACTTGAATAGATATTTCTCTAAAGAAGATATGCAAATGGCCAGTTAGCACACAAAAAGATGTTCAGTGTCATTAACAAAATGCTAAACAAAGCTGTAGTGAGGTAGCACTTCACTCCCATTAGGATGACTATTCCAGGGGCCTGGTGTTGCAGTAGTTAAACCCTTGGCTAACCAAAGAGTTAGTGGTTCAAACCCACCAGCAGCTCTGGGGAAGAAAAATCTGGTGATCTGTTTCCATAGAGATTACAGCCTAGGTAACCCTGTTGGGCAGTTCTACTTTGTCTACAGGGTGACTATAAGTCATAATCAACTAGACAGCACAGAACAACAGGATAGCTATTATCAGAGAAATGGAAAAAACAAGTGTTGATGAGGATGTGGAGAAATTGAAACCCTCATCTGTTCCTGGTGGGAATATAAAATGGTACAGCCTCTGTGGAAAATAATTTGGTGACTTCTCAAAAAGTTAAACATCCAGTTACCATATAACCCAGCATGTCCACAACTAGGTATATACCCAAAAGACTTGAAGGCAGGGGCTCAAACAGATAATTTACACTGCAGTGTTCATTGCAGTATTATTCACAGTAGTCAGAAGGCGGAAACAACCCAAATGTCCATTGACAGATGCATGGAGAAACAAAATGTAGTATATCCATCCAATGGAATATTATTTAGCCATAAAATGATATGAAGTTCTGATTATGCTACAGTGTGGCTGAACCTTGAAAACATTATACTAAGTGATAAGTCAGACACAAAAGGAAAAATATTGTATGATCTCACTTATATGAAATACTTAGAATAGGCAAATTCATCGAGCAGTTATTGATTACCAAGGGCTAACGGGAATGCTAAGGGGGAGTTATTTTTTAAGGACAACTGAGTTTTTGTTTGGAATGATGAAAAACTTTGGAAATAGACTATGGTGATGGTTGCTCAGCACAGTAATTAATATTACTGATTTGTACACTTAAAAATGGGTAAGATGGCACAATTTTTATGTATACATATTTTTACCACAATAAAATTAAAGAGAAGAAGAAGAGCCCAGGAGATCAGATTGTTTGCTCCTTTCCTGTGCAGAGCTCACTGTTCTTCATGGTTTTTCGGGAAATCCGTGGCACCTGATACCTGTCAGGGAAAAAATGATTGCAAATGTGATAATTTAAAACTAACCAAGGATAGTTTTAAATATATGAAATAGACATTCATTCTTGGAGCAAACAGCCTGATATGAACCTGCATTTTCAGAATAGCAACAGTCATTTGATAAAACTTGGATTTGCACTTAGGAGATGCTCAGTGAATTATTATAGATTGACATCAGTCCCATGTCACACAGTTCTTATTGTATTAATGATAATAGCATGTTTGCATCTAGCATCAAAATTAAAATGTCGTATTTATATCACCTTTTTTTCCTCCCTTCCCAGAATTGACGGACCTTCGGATGTCTTAGGGAAAAGCCTTGCCAATTTACAAAAACAGTTTAGTGAAATTCTTGCACACTCCCAATGGGAAAGAGAGGAAGCACAAGTTAGAGAGAGAAAACTCCAAGAAGAAATGGCTCTGCAACAAGAGAAACTGGCAACCGGACAAGAAGAGTTTAGGCAGGCCTGTGAGAGAGCCCTTGAAGCAAGAGTAAGAAAAGGGCAAGAGGCAGCTGGAGGGAAGTGTTTGGCAAATATTAATGTTTTTCAGCAAATTACAATGCTTTCCTTTCACATGTAAATACAATATAATTGTTGTTATTTTCACTTACAGCAACTTAAACTGGATGACTGAAATTCAGCCCTGAATATGGTTACTGATATCAAAGTCAGACTTGTTTGTAACAGTGTTATTTTACTTATTATGGAAGCAAGTGAGAAATGTTCCTAACATGTAGCTAAATAATACCACATTGCTAGATTATAGTGTGGTTTCAGAATCCTACTTTTTTATGTAATAAATTTAATGATCTGGTAAACATTAAAATGGATTCTAGACAACATTCAAGATAAAGCCATCCACAATAACTAATTAATCTAAAATTTTGTTATACTCTAGTAATAAAATATATTCTCTAAAAAGCTTCAGAAACACATTTTACTTAAAAAGCATCTTTGAAACTTGATTTCCTCACAGATTAATTTTGATAAGAGGCAACATGAAGCAAGAATCCAGCAATTGGAAAATGAAATTCACTATTTGCAAGAAAATCTAAAAAGTATGGAGGAAATCCAAGGCCTTACAGATCTCCAACTTCAGGAAGCTGATGAAGAGAAGGAGAGAATTCTGGCCCAACTTCAACAGTTAGAGAAAAAGGTGGGGAAGGCTAGGAAAGCAAGATACAGGAATACATGCTGACTGGGTCCTGCCTGTGAGTCCCACCAGTTTGGTGTCAGCTGAGAAGGGTGTGATCCATCGGCGCCTGTGACTGCATTGTTAGCACAAAAGTGAACATAACCTAGGAGAGACCTTGTAGCTGGGAAACAAAAGAATTGGGAATGTGACTTTAGTGTTGGTTAGGATGTACTTAACAGATGCTCTTGGGGTGAGTCTGTCTCCTTTGAAACTTCTTGCCACGTTTTCCATGGGAAATCTTGTTTTCCTTTCTAATACCCTGACTTTTCTTTGGACTTCTCCTCTGTCTCACCTCAGCCATTCACTTCCATTGTCACATCCTCTGGACCTTGTCAAATTCAGAAATCACACCCACCACTCCTGGAAATCACAAACCAAAGGTCTAATCATAACCTCTTATCAGGCCAGAACCCCCATCTAACAATTTTTCAACCTTGTTGAGAATTCAGGTTTAGTAGCTTCTGCTACTAAATACTCTGGTGGCATAGTGCCTAAGGCATTTGACTGGCAACCAGAAAGCTGGTGGTTCAAACCCACCAGCCATTCCTTAGAAGGCAGGTTGGGCAATCTACTTCGGTAGAGATACCATCTCAGAAACCCAAGGAGGGGTTGCTATCAGTCACACTCCTTGATGGCAGTGAGTGAATGTGTGAGCTTCTGCTACTACCCTCCACCTTTTTTATTTTTTAAATCTTTTAAGTCCTTCATGTCTTTATTTTCCTCTTTGTCCAACTTAAATTCCATGGTCTACAACTACAGCCATTATTTTGCAATATCCTTAAGTCTCTTGTCTTTTCATCTGTCTTACCTCCCTGACAAAACTGCAGCTATCTGCCATCTTTGAGCCTTTACCTGTGCTGAATATTTCTGGAGAAGAAAAATCACCTATGCAGGCATATTGATAATCACTTTCAACTTTCCTTCGCTAATGTCAAATGGGCAGTGTGGTGTTTAAGTTTGTGTGTCAACTTGGCTGGGCCTGGTTGAGTGGCTAGGCAGCTGGATGTAGTATTCCCCGTGATGAGACTGGTAATCAACTCTATGGTGGAATCTACTGTGAGCAGCTGAGTAGCTGCCTTTGGGTATGTGGTCTGCTTCCCGTATATAAGAAACAGCTTTGGGAATGGTCTCTAGTATATGCTTGGACCCTGCATGTAGCTATGTCATTGTTCAGCAGCCTGCCATGCTCTGCCGACCTTGGGACTTGAATTAATGGCCTGCCGTGTGGTTTGGTAACATTGGAACTGTGCCATTTTATTTGTCGACCTTGGGCTTGTTAGCCTCAGCAGCCAGTAGCTGCCTAAGTGAAGAGATGCCTCTAGCTTCAGTGGGCTGGGAGCAAGAGGCAGAGCTGAAGCTCAAGGTCAAGGGACTTTCACCCAGTCCCTAGAGCCTGGCACTTTGAACTTGGACTTAAAGCCTCCAAACTGTGAGAGACTAAACTCCTGTTTGTTCAAGCCATCCCATTTGTGATATTTCTGTTAGAGCAGCACTAGGTAACCACAACAGGCAGTGTTACCTTTTTCTCTGCTGAACTCACTATCCCGGGCTCCCTGTTGCATGTGCTCTTTCTCCTCATACCTACCCTCTCCCTCCTTCCAGCATCAGCAGATGACTTGCTGTATACTTCACTGTAAGCTCGTCAAATCTCAAGTCCTATTAAGTCCATCTCCAAAATATATCTCAAATATCTGTACTTTGACCTTCTCTGATGACCTTCACCGTCATCTAGCCAACTTGGGATGACTGCTGCAGCTATCTAGCAAATCTCCCTACTTCAAATGTCCCCTGGTCCACATAACAGCCAGCGTGCTCTTGCTAAAATGTGAATTGGTTCTGGTCAGTCTTCCAATAGTTTCCCGTTATTCTTAGGATAATAATATGTTTAGGCATTTGTTACCTGATAGGATAAAGACCAAAATACTTAAATCTATGAGGTGCTCTGGCATTTGCTTCTTTATACCTCTCCTTTTCTCACTGTGCTCCTTATTTCAATTCTTCAAAAATGCCAAGTTCTGTCTTCCCTCCTGGTCTTCCCACATCCTGTTCCTTCACCTGAACCGTTTCTTCACTATTCTTCTCCCTGACCATCCCCCTCCCACCAGTCTAGATCCCTCTCCTACTGTTTTCTCAAGTAATGTCCTGTTCTGCACGTTCATAGCATCAATCATGATTTTCATTTTACCTGATTATTTGTTTATTATCTGTCTCTTTTTATCTGTAAGCTCGTAAAGGGCAGCAGCCACACTGTTTTGTTTATTGCCATATGCCCAGTGTCTGACTCAGTGATTGAAAATATCTGATCTATCAGAGATGATGAGATGTTTGTCCAGTGACTGAATAAATTATAATAACCAAGATTCTTGACTGGGAAGACTTACTGGATTCCAGACGATGCAGTTTTGAGATATTTTTAATTATTCAGTAAATATTTATGGAGCACCTACAGTGTACTAGGCATGGTTCTGGGTCTGGGTCTGGGGTATGCAACAGTGAACAGAGTCCCTCCCGTCATGCAGCTTCCATCTTGCAGAGACTTTGCTGAGGGAAAATGTGAACAGAGTGCTTTTCTTTCTCACAGTTTGACTCTTTCATCCATTTCTGCCAAATGACTCTTCTGTTTATTTAATGTTTCTTTTATTTTAGAAGAAACTCGAAGATGCCAGATCCCAGGAGCAGTTTCTTGGTTTGGATAAAGAATTGAAGACACTAAAGAAAGCTGTGGCTGCCTCTGATAAGCTAGCCATAGCTGAGCTCACCATTGCCAAAGACCAGGTTAAGTCCCTTCATGGGACTGTTCAGAAAATTAACCAGGAGCGAGCTGAAGTAAGTCCGTAGGTAGAGAACAAGTTCTCACCAGTTATGCTGCTGCCAAAAAATACAGCAACTTTGTTACTAGTCTCTTATTAGAGAACATAATTATTTTATAAACCACTATTGTTGGTTTCTCTTAAGCCCTAAAGATTGTATTTCCCTCATCAAATCCCCAAGAATTTATTTAGTGCTAAAGTGGGCCCTGCCCTCTGTTGAGTCCTGAAAGGAATCATCAGATGAAACATACTGTCCTACCTGAAGGGATCTGTGGTCTGTGTAGGGAGGTAGCTGTCAATACACACTGTACAAGGATTTTTGAAAGCTTACCATATAATCCCTCTGAACTTCAAATTTTTCATCTTGTGCAGTTAGATGATAATATGTTACCTCATTGGGCTGTTATGACTCCTGACGAGATAATGTCTATTTCTGGTGCTTTATAGGCTACAGATGCTAATGAAATTTAAGATATTAGTTCACAGGAGAGAGTATCTAATGATTGAGAGTGACACCACTTGTGGAAGATAATAGAATAGTGAGGCAAAAACTCGCCCTTGCTCTTTCAGTGTAGCACCCTTTCCATTTACTCCCCATAGAGGTTGCAGAGCTGGCTTCCAGATAATGGGAACAATACATGAGAAGGTGAGACATGGCACTACATGTCCATAGGACAGCCAGACAGGCAATCTGGTTAAAGCAGAAGAATCAATCTGAGAGAAAGAAAGAGATTGAGAAGATAACCTGTGATGGCAGTGATGCCTTTTTCATACTTCTGTCCCAGCAGGAGTTGCAGGAAACTGAGAGGTTCAGCAGAAAGGCAATGCGTGCGGCCAGGGATCTGACCCGTGCAGAAGCAGAGATCGAACTCCTGCAGAATCTTCTCAGGGATAAAGAGGATCTGGTCAGTATTGGTACCCCCAGACCTTTCCCTTACTGAGTCCAGTTCAGTTTCTGAAAGATAAAATTACTGCAGGTGACACCTTCAAGAATTGTAAAGTGCTTGCCATATAATCCCTCTGAACTTCAAATTTTTCATCTTGTGCAGTTAGATGATAATATATTAGGCTGTTATGACTCCTGACAGTCAATCAGTATTTTATATGCTCCTGTATAGCAGGCAACAGACTCTGGTGGTATAGTGGTTAAAAACATTGAGCTACTAACAGTTCAAACCCACCAGTTGCTCCATGGGAGAAAGATAAGGCAGTCTGCTTCTGTAAAGATTTATAGCTTTGGAAATCCTATGGGACAGTTCAACTCTGTTCTACAGTGTCACTTTGAGTCAGAATTGACTCGATGACAATGAGTATGGTTTTTGGGTAAACCAAGCACACACACACACACAAACACAAACCCACTGCCATCAAGTCAATTCCAACTCATGGTGACCCCTATTGGGTTTCTGAGGCAGGAAATCTTTACAGAAGTAGATTGCTTGGTCTTCACTTCTGCGGAGTGGTTGGTGGGTTTGAACCGCCAACCTTCTGATTAGCAGTCAAATGCCTTTGACATTGAGCCACCAGAGCTCCTTAAACTACGCATAGTGCAGCTTAAATATAAGGAGTAATTAGATTTTATCACTGGTGTGATGTAGATAACAATTACAAAATACTATAATCAAGTTGGGGAGCTCTGGTAGCATAGTACCTAAGGCACTTGACTGCAAACCAGAAGGTTGGCAGTTCAAACCCACCAGCCACTCCTCAGAAGGAAGGTTGGGCAATCTCCTTCCGTAGAGATACCACCTTGGAAACCCAAGGAGGGGTTGCTATGGGTCGGGCCAAATCGACGCCACATAACAACAACAACATAATCAAGTTGCAAGGATAAGCACATCATGAAAGAATTAATTTATTGGGAACTTTTTTGTATGTGATTCTTCAATAGTTTCTAATGGCAATGGGGAAGGCAGACGCAGGCACCTTAGCAAACTCACAGGTGCTGGAGATCAGTAAACTCAATGAGACAATGGAGAGACAAAGGACAGAGATTGCAAGGCTACGGAATTTATTAGACCTCACTGGGACCGGTAAGGTATTGGGCTTTGATTTCGGTAGTTGTTTTCACTGTAGACATTACTATTTTAAAAGGAAATCTTGCTTGTTTTTCTATCTTTTTTATTTTAACTCTTGCAAATGAATCCAATGCTTTATTTACAAAGCTGTGTAATTAGCTTAAATAATAAGTGTAATACCAAGAAACTTGATTACAAAGAAACTGGTAAAAAAAACTTGTATTTGTATTTCCAGAAGAAGTGATGTTTACAAATCTGCTCATTTACTTTCTCTGCCCTTTTAAAAAAATTTTCAGTTACCTTTTCCCTGTGTTCCTTTATACTCCTACCCCCAGAGCTGTCTCCCTGTGCATACACTGCCTTTCTATTCTCTCACGATTGATCTCTCCAAGGAGTGTGTCTACCTGATATAAATGTTCAGCCCATATACCTGTATATTATTTGGCTGGAAGCCACAGGTGTGAGTTTGATTCCAGAGCTGAAGGACAGCTAGGGGGCTATAGTTTCAGGGGTTTCACTAGGCTATCAGACCAGCAAACCTGGTCTTTTTATTATTATTATTATTATTTATGATTTTGAGTTTAGTTCCACGTTGTTCTCACACTCTATCCAGAATCTCCTACATAGATACCCTCTGTGAGTAGTTGACAGTGGTAGCCAGCCACCATCTAGTTCTTCTGGTCTCATGGTCATATAGGCTGAGGATCACATGATGTACCAGTCCCTTGGACTAATCGTTTCCATGCATCTTTGGTTTTCTTCATTTTTCTTTGCCCTGGATGTAGAGAGACCCATCATTGCATCTAGATAGCTACTTACAAGCTTTAAGATCCCCGTCACTATTCACCAAAGTAGGATGTGGAACAATGTTTCTGTGTAGTATGTTTTGCCAGTGAGCATGGAGCCCCTTGGGACCATGGTCCCAAGCCCACAGGTCTAACTACTCACTCCCTCCGGGTAGCTGGCTGTGGCCAAGAAGTCACCACAACCTTGTCCCTTGTCAGCTCTACTATATACCTGGCCAATTCTTACAGCACATACATATACACTTGTAGAAACATCGTCTGCCAACCCTATACGTGGTCATGGGCACACTGCCCCCTGCCTCAACAAACCTGATGGTTCAGCCTATCCACCCATCTATCCAGCCATAGATCATAGTTTGCCATCACTCTGGTAGCATAGTGGCTAAGACACTTGCCTGCTAACCAGACGGCTGGAGGTTCAAACCCACCAGCCACTCCTCGGAAGGAAGGTTGGGCAATCCTACTTCCGTAGTGATACTGCCTCGGAAACCCAAGGAGGGGTCGCTATGAGTCAGGGCCGACTCGATGGCACATAACAACAACAACAACAACAACGCAGTACTGTATGTGCAAAAGGGTTAATCTTTGTTGTCTGTACTCCCATTTACCTCTCTCTGTCTTACTCGTGCCACTGAGTTGGTCACTCACATTTGGTGCATTGCCCTTCCCTTCACCCAAATCAATTCTTGTCTCTACTTATCTAGCAGTGTTCCATTCCCTCCCCTCCTACCCTAGGTAACTAAAAAAAAAAAAAAATTTCCTTCCATATATAAACCTTACCTTGACTTTTTACAATAGCTGACTAATACGATATTTTTCATTCTGTGATTGACTTATTTCACTCAGCATAGAGTCCTCCAAGTTCTTCCACATTATGTGGTATTTAGCAGATTCTATGTTATTCTTTTAGGATTGCATGATATTCCGTTGTGTGTGTGTGCCATAGTTTGATTATCCATTCTTCTGCTGATGGGCACCTAGGTTGTTTCCATCTTTTTGCTATTGTAATTAGTGCTGTGATGAACATGGATGTGCATTTATATATTCTTGTCTTGGCTCTCACTTGTTTAGGATATATACCTAGTAATGGGATTACTGGGTCAAATGGTATTTCTAATTCCAGCTTTTTAAGGAATCGCCATACTGCTTTCCACAGTCGTTGTACCATTTTACAGTCCCACCAGCAGTGTATGAGAGTTCCAGTCTTTCCACATCCTTGCTAGCATTTGTTATTTTCTGTTTTGTTGAACTTTGCTGTTAGTGCTGGGGTGAGATAGTATCTCATTGTTGTTTTGATTTGCATCTCTCTGCCCCCACTTTATAATTGAAGGACAGAAGGATGTGTTTATTCTCTTTAAGGATCAGCAAAAACTAATTACAGAAGGGTGGGCTGGAAGCTAGCTTTGAGGAGCTGATCAAATTCATTGGCAGTCCTGGAATCAGTTTTGGATTTTGAGAGAGGAAGTGGGTGATTTCATAGCAATTTGATAAAATGACTTTCCTTTACAGATAACAAAGGAGGCTTTGAAAATGTTTTGGAAGAAATTGCTGAACTCCGTCGTGAAGTTTCTCATCAGAATGATTACATCAGCAGCATAGCAGATCCTTTCAAGAGACGAGGCTACTGGTACTTTATGCCACCACCACCACCATCATCAAAAGTAGGAAATATGTGGTGCTGGGAGTATATACTGAAATTTCTTGAAGAAAGCATGACAGTGTCCCTTCCCCTAATTTATAAACAGGAGCCATACAGAAATAAACATCTTTATGCCAAGCCATACATTTATATGATGAATTATACATTCAGAGCCACAAAGCTGGGATTCTTAAGTGTTTTAATATTTGAGATGAAAGTAGTTCCTTCCCAGGGAAGACGGTAATTGTCTTTTCATATTCAGGTGGTATGTTGTAGGTCCCTGAATGACGATGCTGTAAGGGGATAAGGCAACTCAAGACCAGAGAACTTGTTAAAAATGGATATAGAATTATGCAGATGCACAAATGGACAAATAAACACCTCGGACTCATTTCATTTTAACAAACACGTATTCATGCTTCTTGCAGACTGGGTCAGGTGCTTGGAGGTGAAGAGGTACCAAGATGAATGGTCTCATGGAGAAGTTTGTAGAGTTGGGTGGTAAAGTTGATACTTAATAAGCAGAGAGGGATGAGATTTTAGGAAGGAGAGAAGAGCTAGGGTGAGAAAGGATAGTTGGCTTGTGCATCACAAGTAGCCTCACGGGGCTGGAGGGATGAATAGGAGCAGTGAAAGCTGCAGCTAGGAAAGTAGACTAGGGTCATCCTTTCTAAAAGGGCCTTGAAATCCCTTGTTCTTAATTGAATGCTGTAGGAAGCTGGGAGTATATGTAACATGATCAGAACTATATAAACTATATTCTGGCTGAGTGTGGAGGCTAGACTTGTGTCAGGGTGAACTTTTTTGGGGACTATTGGAAATCATTTAGGTGAGCAATGGCAGAGGCCAGGCTAAAGCAGGGGAGTTGGAGAAGAAGAGATGGATTAGAGAGTTGTTGAGACATAGTGGTAGGGCTTTGTGTCTGTATGTGAGAGGTGAGCAGAGTACTGTAAGGTACAGATATCCAAAGCAGAGGTGCTGGGTGACATTTTGAAGAGCAAAGGTTAGGGAGAAGTACCTCAGACAGAGTAGGATCCCTTGACTGTAGGCTTATCCAAAGCCCAAAGAGCAGGATCTAGGACCTTTCTCCCAGAAATCTAAAGGAAGCCAAATCCTTGGCACAGCCAGATCTAGAGGTGGGAGCAGAACAGGTCAGAGCTAAACGTTCTAACCCTGAGCTGGGTGAGGGTTTGAGGGGAAAGAGAGGGAGAGTAATAGAGTAGAGCTTTAAATTCATGCCAGGCTCCTAGGACAGCAGGAGACTAATACACCCAGATTCCATTGAAGCTTACTGCTTTCCTTTGTCTCAGTTACTGAGCCATTAAGGACAAATCAAAGGAAGAGAAACCGCCAAGAAAGATGAGCACAGAGAGAAAGTGGCTGGTATTCAGGGATCTGATCACTTATGGAGAACTTGTTTTCATTTATCATTCTTAGGAAATTGCTGTGAAAAATTAACCCACTCAGGTAGCTGGATCATGTGCTTTTCTCATTCAACATGATCAAAAACTTAGTATCTTTATAAAATCATACTGAGGGAATGATAGGAAATGAACATATCAAATAATTTCTAAGGTGATAAGTGGACATCAGTTAGAGTATGTTGGCTTTTACCAGATTTTGAGCCCATTATTTCCACAAACCCTTCTGGTCTGACCCCAGCCATTATGTACACAGCACTGCTCTTTGTACCACCTCCCTGATGCTGCTGAATTGAGCAACTCCACAGGGATGTCAGTTAACTGAACCTTTGTGCAAGGCTGCAGTTCACATGACCATGTAATTACTTCTCATTTCTATCGTGAAAAGTTAAGATTATGATACATACAAAGAAATCAAGTTCTTTTTCAGCTTCCCTAAATCAGAAAAGGACTCTAGACTTTTAGCATTTCTCAAGATCAGCCTTCCATTTGTAATAAATGGTGTACTCTGTTGTCATTTATTTTAGGTTTCCAGCCATAGTTCCCAGGCCACCAAGGACTCTGGTGTTGGCTTAACGTACGCAGCCTCAACTCCTATTAGAAAACCACACCCTGGGCAGCAGGATGGGAAGGAAGGCAGTGGACCTCTACCTGCTTCAGGATACTGGGTTTATTCTCCCATCAGAAGTGGGTTATATAAATCTTTTTCACATAAAGGTAGGTTAAATCACATAAGGGAAGTTGCATTCCTCTTGTCTGTTTAATAACCTTTTATTGACACCTGAAGTTCATAAGACAGTCCAAACTCCTTAGCTTGCTCTGTGAGACCCTCTGTGATTAGGTCTTGGCTGGCAACCAAGTCTGACGTCTCACCTCCCATCTCTCCTACATGTCAGCCATATGTGACTGCACACTAGCTTCCTCAGATCTCTGTATTTTAAGCCCTCTGTCTGGAATGTCCTTACTCCTCCTTCCGTTCCACAACCTATTTCTACTTATGCTTCAGTAAGACCCAAGTCCTCAAACATTACTCATTTTCTGACACCTTCCCCCGACCCTGCCTCACTCAGGCTGACTGAGTAGCTCCTTCATCTGTACTCCCAGAGCATGGCAGCATATATTCTTATATCATGGCATGATCTTGCTGTATTACATCGATGTGTTTATAGATCTGTCTTCCAGATTTTTGGGTATAGAGAGAGTCAGATCTGGGGTGAAGCCTGGCTCTTTCATTTAATAGAATGTGATTTTAAGTAAATGATTTAGTTGCTCTGAGACAGTTAATCTGTAAAATGAGAATATGATCTTCTGAGACTTTTTTTCATTCAGGAATTATTTATTGAGTGCCTGTTGTATGCTGAAGGAGCTCTAGTGGCATAGTGGCTAAAGTATTTGGCTGCTAACCAGAAGGTTGGGGTTCTAACTCACCAGCTGTGCCATGGGAGAAAGATGAGGCAGTCCACTTCCATAAAGATATACAGTGTTGGATACCCTCTGGGGCAGTTCTGTTCTGTCCTAAAGTGTCACTATGAGTCAGAATTGACTTGATGGCAGTGAGTTTTGCTATATTCTAGGTTCTCTGTCTTCAGTGATAAACAAGACGTAGTTCCTACTTCTGGGAGAGATAAGTAAGCCATCTCATTAGAGAGTGCTGTATGTTGTGATACTGGTAAATGCTGGGTCATGTAGATGCTCTCAGCACATCTCTGTTGGTCTCTAATGAAGGAATGAATGAACAAACAAATGGACAAGTAAATCAACAGATAATGTGTAATAAAAACTCAAGCATTAGCCACTGAAAATAATTTGAATCCTTGTTTTGATGTGCTTTTCAAAACTGCTTTCGACCTATTTCCAGAGTTTTATTCTCACATCTCTGGTATCTTGGCCTAAATGCTGCTGTTCTGAACTAAATCTGTTTACTTCATAAACCATGGAGGTGAAAAAAACCACTCTTGTGTTCATTTCTTTGAAGATGAGGACAGTGGAGGAGATAGCCAGGAAGAGAGTGACCTGGAAGACCGAGAGGAACCCCCATTTGTGCCTCCACCTGGATACATGATGTATACTGTCTTTCCGGATGGTTCTCCTGTGCCCCAGGGCATGGCCCTATATGCACCACCTCCTCCCTTGCCTAACAATAGCCAACCTCTCACACCTGGAGCGGTTGTTTATGGACCTCCTCCTGCTGGGGCCCCCATTGTGTATGGGCCTCCACCCCCCAACTTCTCGGTCCCCCTCATCCCCATGGGTGTGCTGCATTGCAACGTCCCAGAACACCATAACTTAGTAAGTGAAAAGACTTATGATCCCCATCCACACTTCCAAAGATAACTGAATAAGATTGTATGCCGTATTTTTTTCCTGCAAATAATGCACCCATGTAAATAATGCACACACCCATATAACACACATAGCACACATAGGAAACTGACATATGAGGGGCTTGCACAGTTTGCAAAAAAAGTATAGTGTGCATTATTTGTGTTAAAATAGGGTACATAATGTCACAATTTGAGATGATCTATTTGTGAATGGATTGTATCCTAAAAGTGTGTTTGTAATGCTAGTGTTTGGAACTGAGCAAGCATTCTCTTATAAAAATAATATTGTGAACATAAGGTAGGATCTCAGGCCATTCGACAAAAATCAGTTTTTAACATAAGTGCTTTCAATCCAGATATTAACTATTTTTAAAAAATCTTATATATTTTCACATTGAAAATGCTATATTGTGTGTTTAAGTATATTCACATACTAGTATCTACTTACGCACATATGCATAAGTGCATACACATGTATGTTCATGTGTTCATATGTATGTATAAACACTATACAGCAAAGTTTCGATGGAGATTATCCCTGAGTAGTAGGATTTATTTAGTACTATTTCTTAATCCTTTTCAGTTATTATCTGTACACATATTTGTATACTGCTTTTCCCACTTAATGTTACAAACAATTCTCCATGGTTTTAAAAAATTTTTAAACAGGATTTTGAATGGCCACCCAACGTTTTATTTGTAAATACTAGTTAATCGTGTATAAATATTTACTATATTTTATATTATTTTCTTAGACTAGATTCCAAGAAATAATTACTTTCTAGCCACTAGATTACTAACTTTTGGTTCTGAAGAAATAAAATGCATTCCAATTTCCTCCTTCAAACTCAGGACACATTGAACTCTCTGTTTTCTCCTTGCCTTCTTGGCAGATTGATAGGAATATAAAGATCTAGAACACCTGAGTACTAACCCACCAGGCCCATTTTAATAAGTCAGACTAGTTTCAGAACTGGGGGACTGTTCATATATATTTATAAGAGTAAAACAATTGTCACTCCCATTATCTTCTAGTTTTTCAATACACATTGTATTTACAGAAATTCTGGCTGCTCAGCATTTATTGATAGTGACTTAAACCAGTTCTTTCCTCTCTCCAGTACTGGCTCAGCTGTTTATACAGTTTCTCAGATGCACTTTTATACCTCCCTGCATTTACACATGTTATTTCCTCAGCCTAGATTTTCTTTCATTCATTCCTTTTTTAAACCAGGCAAAACACTTCTTCTCTGAGTAACCTTTTCAGACAACTGCTCTTCCATGTGTCCAGAGGAGGAAACCTCTGTGTCTGTCTCTTCTGCAGACATGATCAACAAGAGGTGCTTGGTAGATGTTTTTCAACCACAGTAGGACTAATGGAAAAGTTAAAAGCTCCATGAATCCATCAGTTTTATCTGTGATGTGTGAAAAAATTAGCTTGACTTAATTTTTCTTTTCACTCTACAGTCTTAGAATCTACCACCATTTTCAGATTATAGATCCTTCTTTAACAACAGTTAATTTCAGATTTTGATAGGAAACCTGTGGAAATATCCTGTGATGTTTCAGCATGCCATTTTTTTTTCTTTGATCAGGAGAATGAAGTTTCTAGACTAGAAGAAATAATACAGCATTTGAAATCAAAGAGACGGGAAGAACGGTGGATGAGAGTGTCTAAGCGGCAGTCTGAAAGAGAAATGCAGGAGTTGCATCATAGTATTGATGGTCTTTTGCAAGAGAAGAAAGATTTAGAGCATGAAGTAGAAGAATTACATAGAGTGGTCCAAAAACATCAACAGCGAAAGTAAGGTTATTAGCCATTTTATTCTAATTAAGATGAATGTGATACTAATTCATTAAGGCAGTCTATTTAATAAGTGCTATTTAATAGAACTTTCTGTAGCCTTGGAAATATTCTAGATCTGCACTGTCCAAAACAGTGGGCACTAACCACATGTGGCTATCAGACACTTGAAATTTGGTAATAAAATTGAAGAACAGAATTTTTAATTTAATTTTACTTAATAACCACATGGTGGCTACCATATGGGACAATGCAGATCTAAATCTTTTTGACCAATAATCCTAAACTCTTCTTGTAATCCCTCTTTGATAATGGCTAATTATCATGGATAATCATCTCTTCTCCCTAGCTACTCTACCTAAAAACATGGCAGGTATCTCCAACTTTCCCTTCCCCTCACTCCCCCAGGCATCCAATTCTTCACCAAGTTGTAGTCCCTGTTCTTTCACTTTGCTGCAATGGTCTTTAGTTAGTCTCATCCTGTGTTGTTGTTATGGGCTGTCGACCCCTCCTTGGGTTTCCGAGGCAGTATCACTACAGAAATAGATTGCCCCATCTTCCTCCTGAGGAGTGGCTGGTGGGTTTGAACCAACAGCCTTCTGGTTAGCGTTAGACACTATTCTACCAGAGCTCCCAGTCTCATCCTAGACCATTATAATAGCTTCTTCATTGACCTCCCATATCTAGTTTTTTTCTCTCCACTCTCCCTTCACCATGACTGCAAATCTGGCCATTCTACCCTCCCATGTGACTCTCCATCCCCTCAGGATATACACGACCTTCTGAAATCTCTGCCTGTTTTTTGTTTTTTGAAATGCGTCTTCCTGTGGGGTCCCAAGCACCCTGTTTTTTCCTGCCTCCATACCCTTGCAAGTGCTGTCTTTTCTGACTGAAATGTCTTCTCCCTTCCCTTTCTCCCATGTAATGCCAATCTGTCTTTCAAAAGGAAGGTCAGGGATTTCCTCTTCTAAAAAATCTTTTCTCAGGCCCCTAGAACTCAAAATTAGCCCTTGGGCATAGTTACTGTTCTCACAATATTATAAGGAGCCCAGGGGCTCCTTGAGAACAGTGACAGGGCCTCCATTTCTGTGTCCCATCCTGTGGCATAGGACCCAACACAGCACAGGTTTGTTCAAGAATTCCATGTCTGCTTATTGGATCACTTATGTAGAAGCTTACCTTCTACAGTGGTCAGTGAATTATGACAGTTCCCCACTTCTTGTCATTTAAGCCAGACTGGGCCAGGCTATGGGATGAGGGGAGACCTACACAGAGGTGAGCAAAACAGGATCACTGCTATCTAGGCACAGACAGGTGGAATGACTAACTGATATATCTATCAGGGAAAAGCAAAGAGCCCACTCAGAAGATTGGGACTAGATCTTTGAGGGCTTATGGGGTGGTCATAGTTATTTTTGTGGGTATATTAGGGAGCTTTTTTGTTTTGTTTGTATTTTGAGGTGTGTTTGTTTTTGCGGCATTAACAAAAGGAATAACCATTTCATTTCCTGGCTGTAAAATTGTAATAAATAATTATTCTAGGAAACTTACATAAGGCAAAAATATTCAGAGAAGGAAATCTAAAAATATGTATGTTCATCATTTAAAGAGAGAGAACGTGTTAACATGTTGATGAGTCTGTCTTCAGTCATGGATAGTCCCAGATTCAAATAATTGTGTCATGTTGTAGTTGTCCATCATGTTAGCCTTGAGTTACTGGATTTTGTGTCAATACCATCACCATACCTTACTCTAGAAGAATGGAGTCAGTCAACAAAATCAGGTAGTCTTCAGGGTAGACCTTGAGCTGGACCTTGAAGGATAATGTTTGAGAGACTAGATGGTTATTACAATAGTAGTTTGTTTTATTTTTACACTTCAGAAGAATAAAAGCATCAACATTGGCTTGGTCAAGTGTTGTCAGTATAGTAATCTTTGTTGTTTTTATATAAAAAAAGAACAAAATAATTGCATTATACATTGTATTACACATTTATTGTCAACAGTGTACCCTCTTAAACAAAAAGTAGACGTAGACTGTGAAGATAATCAAATACAGCTGTCTTTCTTGCCCCTTACATAAATTAGAAAATCATAATGCATCAGATTACCAATCAGGCTACCAGTGTCTACTTTGCCTACCTTTAAAATCTTTTAATGTTTGTATATTTTTCTTTAAGGGATTTCATTGATGGAAATGTTGAGAGTCTTATTACTGAACTAGAAATAGAAAAATCACTCAAACACCACGAAGATATTGTAGATGAAATTGAATGCCTTGAAAAGACCCTTCTGAAACGTCGTGCAGAGCTCAGGGAAGCTGACCGACTCCTCGCAGAGGCTGAGAGTGAACTTTCACGCACCAAAGAGAAAGTATGTCCTGTTGTGATTTTAGCTGTGAGTTCAGTGTGGGTGAGACAGCATACTCTTCTCACAGGAAGGAAGAAAGAGGAAGTGTGGTAAGAGCACAGTTGTCCAAGTCAGGCAACTGGGTTCTGGGCCAGACTCTGCTACTTGAGGATCTGTGAGAATTTGGGACGTCCTTTAAGTCCCCAGAGCGTTACTTTCCTCATATACAAATTAAGATTAAGAATTCCTGCTCATTCTCCAGGCTGTTCAGTATGAATTACATGATATAACATATTTAAAGCATCTGAAGTTATTTGGCCACAAGGAGCTCTGGTGGTACTGTGGTTAAAGCATTTAGCTGCTAACCAAAAGGCTCAAACACACCAGCTATTCCTTAGGAGAAAGATGAATCAGGCTACTTACGTAAAGATTTACAGCATTGGAAACCCTAGAGGGCAGTTCTACTCTGCCTTGAGGTTGCTATGAGTTGTAATCAACTTGACAGTAGTGGGTTTGGTTTGGTTTACTATGCCCACACATTAATTGGTCTGGCCATTTTATAAATGCCCATTAATTTAACCTTTTTGGCAACTCTATCAGATGTTGTTAAGCACAGTGTACAAATGAAGCTTACAGAGGCTGGTAACTGGCCCAGGGTCCCAGAGCTGAAGTTCTGCCTCATCAAGAAAGCTTTTTTAGTTAGATGAAAAGTCCAACATGAAAAAAAACCCTTACCCACATGGAACACATCAAGAGGTACTGCTTTTATGTTGTTTCAACATGGATCTATTTAAATGAATAAAAATCTATTATCCAGGGGCTGAAATGAATGACGTAAGTTATTAAAGGAATTCTGTGACTGATACCCTTAATACAAATGGAAAAACATCCATGTCTTTTTTCAGATAATTAGTTCCTCTGTTGTCACATGTTAGATTACTGTAAGAGAAAATAGCTGTGAGAAGGAGAAAAATGTATCACTGATATATTAAAAACAATTGATATCAGCAGTAGGCAGAGGTGTAGTAACTGAAAGAAGACTAAGAAGCACTTTCCCTCCATCCTCCTAAAATGACTCAGGGAGGTAGACTTTAGGGAGGAAATAGCTGCTTTGTGTCAGACAAGTGTCAGACATGTTAAAACCTGACAGAGGAGACAAAAACTACTTAGAAAATATGGCCTTCTGCACTGGGAGCTCTGATGGTGTAGTGCTTAAGGCATTTGATTGCTAACCAGAAGGCGGGCAGTTCAAACCCACCAGCCACTCCTCAGAAGGAGGATTGGGCAATCTACTTTGTAGAGATACTGCCTTGGAAGGGTTGCTATGAGTCGAAATTGACTTGACGGTAGTGAGTTTGTTTGGTTTTGATGTGGAGGGCACAGTCAGTTTGTTTATTCCTCTCCTGATGGAACTGTTGAGCCACCCCTCTCAAACACAAGAAACTGGTGAACTGTCTAGCTCTTTCAGCGTCTGCCAGCTATTTTGCATCTACACAGGATATTTAATAGGCAGGTTTAACACACAGATATTTCTTTATGTTAGTGCAATTACAGAACTTACCTTTATGACCAAAGGTGAATCACTGCTCAACCAGGTACAAACCAAGTTCTGTTTTTGGACTTTTGATGACATCGTAGCATAGTGCCTAAGGCACTTGACTGCTAACCGGAAGGCTGGTGGTTCCAACCCATCAGCTACTTCTCTGATGGAAGGTTGGGCAATCTACTTTCGTAGTGATACTGCCTTGGAAACTCGAGGCGTCGCTGAGTCGGATCCAACTCGATGGCACATAACAACAACAACAACATTATAGGCAGAAAAAGAAATTTTAACTTGGTTAAAAAAAATATATATATACTGTTTTTGCCAAATCTTACACAGAAAGCAGTTTTCAAAACTTCAGAAGTATTTAGTATCTATGTTTCTCAACTAATCAGCCTAAGATTGAGGAGCTTTTCTTTATCTTGATACTATCTAAGGTGAAGCAAAAATCCAGGCAGTTTTGGTGAAAATTACTTCAGTGCTACTTAATTGGGTAGATTTTTTTTTTTTAATTAAAAAAATGGCTACTGTTAATATTACAGTGTTTCACTGCCGTTCATTTTATAGGACTGGGCAGGGTTTCGTTTGTTGTACGTGGAGTTGCTATGATTCAGAGCCAACTCGATGGCACCTAATAACAACAATAATATTTTGAAATAAAAAAGATCATGTACTATCTCCATCCTCAAATGACTATTGTGTGTGTATGTGTGTGTGTGTGTGTGTATAGCCTCCCTGTCTTGGCATAATTTCTCTCATAGTGCTTATAGCTTTTATATTTATGTTTTTCAGTCATCATAATGTTGCCACATTGCCATTTTATAATTTTGAAGGCTACACAATATTCTATTGTGTCTATACATTATCACTTAGTGAATTGATTGTTCGTTAAGTTTTATATTGTTCATTATATAATGAGCATTTTTGTGCAGTAGGCCTTTACTTCCAAATTATTTTCTTTAAAAAAACAATTTTTTTAAGGATTTGAGAGTTGAAGTGAATGAACATTTTTATTAATAATTCTTTGTTGCCTTTTTGTTTTTCAAAGGGGTGTCTCTTGCCAGCAGTTGTATTATAACAGAATTGCTTTAATGACAGTTTCTTTTGTAGACAAAAAATGCTGTTGAGAAGTTCACTGATGCCAAGCAAAATTTATTGCAAACTGAGTCAGATGCTGAAGAGTTAGAAAGGAGGGCTCAGGAAACTGCAATTAACCTTGTGAAAGCCAATCAGCAGCTAAGGTACGTGGAGTCCCTTAGTCATTGATACCTGGTGAGATGTGAAAAGCTTGGTTCGAAGAGGTTAATCAATCCTTTAGGATAAATAATGCCATGTGAAGTCTGAGGGTTGGGGGAAGAAAATAAAGTGATGTGTTTTAGATTGCTCCAGGCTGATGCAAAGGACTTAGAGCAGCAGAAAACCAAGCAAGAAGAAATCTTGAAAGAAATAAACAAAGTTGTAGCAGCAAAAGATTCAGACTTCCAGTGTTTAAACAAAAAGAAGGAAAAACTGACAGAAGAGTAAGTAAGGCCTCTGTAGGGCTTCAAGGGTTTTTGTATTGAAAGATGGCTCTTGAGTCTAGTTTTACTTAGTACTGCTGGTGCTTTGCAGGCTTCAGAAACTGCAAAAAGCCATTGAGACGACAGAACGCAGTGAGGATCGCCATCTGCAGGTCCTTCAAGAATCCGAGACCCTCCTTCAGGCCAAAAGAGTAGAGCTAGAAAAGTTGAAGACCCAGGTATGACAGTGGACACTTGGGAAAAGCAATTTATGCTGTTTTGAAGCCTACATTTGTTTAATGATTCTATAAGTAATACAATAGAAAAAGATTGAAAAAGGCAAAATACAAAGAATCATTTAAGTTATATATCATAGTGTTAAGTGTATAGAGGCCAACCCAAATCTGAATCTCAATTTTATACAACTTAGTAAAATAAGTGTGTCTCAGAACATGATACACTCTGTGTGAGACCATTTACGTTACGTATGTCTATGAACACAGTGTTTGTTTTTGTAGTCTTTACCACAGTACAAAAGTGGTCATCAGAGAGGGCATGATTACGAGTATTTTCTATTTTCTTCGTTTTGCTTGTCTGTATTTTCTGACTTTTCTGTGAATGAATATGCATTACCTTTAAAATTATAAGTGATTTTGAAATTTTCAAAATGAATACATAAAAATAAATTACTGCCTAATTTTATCAGCATTGCGACAACGCAACATAATGCATTGCTGTCAAGTCAGATCTGATTCATAGCAACCCCTGCTTGGGTTTCTGAGGTGATATCACTATGGAAATAGATTTCCCAACCTTAAAATGTAGATATGGCATAGAGAGGGAGAACAATGTGGAACAAAACTCAAAATCATTTGGAGGCAAAAAAAAAA